CACATAAAGACATCTCAAGAAGTGTAAGAGATCATTTATAACACATACCACAAGGAAACATTTGCTAATGTCCTCCAACTCAATATTGAATTGATTAATTTACAGAGAGACTCTAAATCCGTGACTGAATACTTGAACAAGTTCAAAATTATACGTGACCATCTTGCAGTTATTAGTAGTCCAGTAAGTGATCAAGATATGGTTCGTTATACACTCAAATGTCTAAGTCCAAAGTTTAAGTCTTTTGAGACCTCATTATTAACCAAACCTCAATTTCCTTTATTTTATGAGCTTCAATCTTCTCTTCTCACATATGAAGCTCAATTTGTATTTTCATCAAGTGTTGAGAATAACCCTCAAGCACTTCTTAGTACACCATCATGGCAAAGAGGTGGCTATAGTCGAAGGCGTGGATGTTATGGAGGTAGAGGTCGTAACCAAAATCAACAAAGTATTCTCGAAACCAATCCAACTTATCACCGACCCCAACAACCAAGAGTGGGCACACAGTCTCATGGGACTTGCAAGTTTTATGGACGACATGGGCATATTGCAAAAAACTGTTGGGATATCAAGGGTAACTCATCTTCTCACAATGCATTAGCTTACAACTTCAGCAACCTGGCAGTCACCTCACCAACCAATCGCTCTTGGATTATGGACACTGGTGCAACTGCTCACATGACAGATGACAACTCACAACTTTGAGGTACGATTCTTTATCACGGTTCTTGTATGGTATTCACATGAGGCAGTACTGCCTTACCCATAACTCATATTGGAGTTGTCTTTATTTCCACTTCCTTTGGCTCTTTAACCATTCCAAATGTCTTACTTGTACCCAAATTAAAGAAACAACGTATAGATGTATCCCAATTTACTAATGATTTTCAGTGTGGCTTTGAGTTTACTCCTCATGGTTGTGTTGTGAAGGATCTACAAAGCAGGAAGGTGATTGCTGAGGCAAGGTCTTTATGTACTCTAAAATGATCAATTGTATGGTCCTATTATGTCCATCTCAAAAGCTAAAAGAGGAATGTCGTTTTTGTGGCATGAGCGCTTAGGTCATCCGAATTTATTTGTTGTTTGTCATCTTGGAAGATAATTAACTCTCCTAAATTTTGTTGATGATTTACCTTCCAATTCATTGTGTTCATCTTAACATTCTAAAGTTGTATTTAACTCCACTGATAGAAAAACTACTGCTCCACTTGATCTAATTTACATTGTTAGTGTGGGGTCCAGCACCAGTTACATCATTACCAAGCTCTCGGTTTTATATAATTCTTGTGGATGATTATACTCGATATACGTGGGTATTTTTCTTGAAACAAAAGTCTAATGTTTTCGATTGCTTTGTTAAGTTTCATACCTAAGTTGAACGCCAATTTGCTTGCAAACTCAAAACTCTTAGATCTGATAATGGTGTTGAATTTACCTCTCACACTTTGAGAGAATATTTGAGTCAACATGGCATTCATCATCAATACCTATGTCCATATACACAAGCACATAGTCGAAATATAGAGCTATGAGTATTGTAGCAGCAGAAATTACTTGGTTACGTATGCTACTTCAAGAAATTGGGGCTTCAATGACTAAGTCCACCACTCTAGCTTGTGATAATCAAAGTGCAATGCGACTAGCTACAAACCCTGTATTTCATGCTCACACTAAACATATAGAGGCCGATTATCACTTCATCAGAGAAATCTCTTATCATATGCTATTTCTATAGTATTTGTTCCTTCATCACATCATATTACACGTTCACCAAAGCATTGAATAGAGCCAAACAACTTGAGTCAATAAAGAAGCTCTCAATGCACCAAATGCATGTTCCGCTTGAAGGGGGTGTTAAGAGAGATAGTAGCATAATATAGTCCTTACCCAATGGGTAATATAGTCCTTCAATTCTTTTTTGTAATATATATATATATATATATATATATATGTCTATTAGTAATAGTAGTATTATAGTGTATAGTAGTGTCGTTTTCTTTCTTCTTCTTCTTCTTCTGTACTAACGTTACCTAACTACTAGTATTTCTTATTCTTAACTAACAACTACTTCTCTCTAGAAGATCTAGAAGG